AGGATGAGCGGAATCTGTTGTCCCCAGATGTCTTTTTTGCGGCAAGGCACCACTTCCAACCTCCTCGGTGAGCTTGATCGCCCTCTCCTCCCGCCATCAGGAAAAATCTTCCGAAAGTTCATCCACGTTTAACTTGCTGGAACAATCTGCTCTTACAGCAACCTAGTGAGACAAGTTCAAAGACTGATGTACTGTTGCAGACGTCGGTGCTCATTTGGCGGCCCGAAGTTGAGCAGCAAGGTAACTCCCTCTCGTGGCTCCTTCCATCCAATCAGCACGAAATCTGCGCTAATGTCACTTCTCTTCTTGGAATCAGAAGAATGTTGGTTTGGTTACCTGCCGATTTATACTTCCAAAACACAACATGCTTCGAATCTTTATGGCAGAATCATATGAGACCCACAACAAACAAGTCAAATTTGAGCAAGCAAAAGAAATCATATTACACTTTGAATCCTTTTTTTACAAGCAGTTGTCACCATGATGCGAGCAATATGTACAACAAACTCATAAAGATCTGTATATATCATATAACGAAAATAATGAACAAAGGAAAGTCAAGAGCCCATTATGAATCCTCTTGAGAAGATTTTTGTTCCAGATACAGTTCAGACGGGCGTTGAAGAGGACGTGTCCGTGAGTATAAATGGTTTCTGCTTTGAACCGGCAGCCTTCTGCAGGTACACAGTCTCTGACAGCTGATTCTTTGGACACGCCCTCTCTCACGCAGAGATATGACCTGTATCTTGCTGTAGAGCATACATAATCGCCTCTATATTCAATTAAATCCTTTATACATACAAAACGGTTATCTTTAAAGTTGATTGTGGTTGCAATACGCTTATACGCTTAGGGTAACAGAGATGTACGTCACAGGGCTACGCGTCAAATTAAAGGAAGAACCCGCGATTACTCGCCATCTCAGATGGTGGATTAGGGGTTCCATATAGACAAGGGGTTGAGTAACTCGACTGTGAACAAAAAAAAGCACAAAAAACATGCCACCTGCCCTAGATAGAACCCCATTTCGATCCCAGTTTGTACGTGCCCAATCAACTCTATCTCCAAAACTACGCCCTCATATGCACGGCTGATTCACCGATAAGATTTCTACGATCGTACAAGTGGCGATTATCATGCTTTTTCGTCCTGCAATCTCATTTTTCACTGGAAGTCGGTCATTAGGGGCGGAGTCTGGAGGCGGAGTCACTGGAAAAAGGAGGAGCCACTGAACCTATATTGCGCTACAGCGCCCCTCCCATAGAAATTTTTGCCGCAAATGGTACGAGTCGTCGCGGACACTCTAAGCTCCAACGCCCATTCAAACTCGATATCCTGATGCGCGGACGGTGCCTCAACGGATATTGCCGTGAACTGCGCCAGCGCCGGGGTATATACGTAAACCCTCACCGCGTTTTGTTTGCAGTACTCAGGTTTGGGACATAACTACACTGCCCCTACATCCACGGTGGTGTGGGCTAAGGGAAGAAAAGGAGCTTCAAGGTGAAGCAGGGTCGATCATTACTTTGTCGCCATAGCCCACCAACTGGACCGTGCGCGACAGGTTTCGTGGCTGCAAGCTGTATGGATAATTCGTGGTGCGTTTGCGGGGACTTGTGCATTGAGTGATACGCGCAATTTCGACATACTCTGTACCCTCTGTTACTGAACTAACTATACGGCAACCACAAAATTCAGCCTTATTCTTCGGGAACTCAAAACAATACGAATACACTCGATTATTTAAGCACCTAACTTCCTGCATACCTATCTTATTGAATCTGCACAGTTCCTCAAGAGTGTCAGAGCTCACCCATTCCCAGATCCTGACGGCTGACTGCTTTTTACTTGAAATTAAATCTCTGCTTCAGTTACCTGGCGTGGCTTCACTCATCTCTGTGTAATCTGACACCACCAACTGTGGGCGAATCAACGAAGGTGTCCGTTGGCGGTTCAAAATACGAGGCATCCATGAAGATCGCCGTGAACCAGAAGATGATGCTTCAGAAGGAGTTGATGGAAATATCAATTTGGCAGTGACGTCAGGTTCTGCTTCAGCGGCACCACCATCTCTACTCGCCAGCGAATTCCGTTCGGCAGTGTCTCGCTGAATCATCGAGAATGATTACAGTATTCCATGTTATAATAGTGACGCAGTGTGACAGTTCAAAGAGGTGATTTTGGGGTTCGGCGGGTAGCCCTGAATTAGCAATGGCCTCAAGATGGCTGACCTCAAAATGAAAGATGGTAGAGACAAACGATTCAAGGAATTTCTATCATTCCAGCCGTCACCAGCGGTGCAGTCATTATCCCTGCAAACTAGAGGGATGTCGGAGGAGGGATGGGGCTTGGATTCGCAGCCAGCGTAGCCTTTTCTACCAACTGATGCCATCTCGAGCCCGTAACTAAAGGAAAAGGTCGACCTGGCTGCTCTCCAATCCAAACCCCTCCAACTCCTCTTTTGCAAAGGTAATAATCGCATGTTTGTCCAACAGACCTAGCAGTAACTAGTGCTGCTCCGTTTCTTTTCTGAAGCCAATCAGAAAAACCATTTCTATTTCATGCAATGTAAAGCTGAGGCCAAAATAGGTAAGAGTAGCACAAACCGTTGAGACGGATGCCAAGCTTCCACGTCCTGAATCCACGCCGCCACTGCTCTGACGATGTCGCCCAAAGCCGAAACGATTCAGACCAAAACGAGGAAGGTTCTGTAATGTATTTACATTCGCTTTCCACCGTAAGTGTGTGATCGAGTCTAGGACTGTGTCTCACTCACTGCACCTCATTGCCCTCTTAGTATGAGAAAGGAGCAGATAAATCAGCATAAGGTAATGCAAGTTTAGTCTGACTCTCCCTCCCGCCCCACTCTGGTCCCTTAACAGGGCAGAAAAGCGGAAAACTAAAAAAAACGTATGGTATAACAGGAAGCGAAACTTCCGTCGATGCTCTTGCTTGGTAGTGTCCTCGTCTATGGCTTTCGCTTGATGTCGAGAGTCGACACCTGCAAACAATTTTTTAACTTTCAAAACTCCAAAGATGACGAGGAAATCGGAACGTTTGTCACGGTGTCCTCGCCCTCAGAACGAGTGAGCACTTAGGACGCCATAATCCACGTGGTCGTCTGTTGCTCTACCAGGACCAAAGTACAATTTTTTTAATCAGGACATCCTTTGGGCCATGCCCCTCCCCCTGTGGGCGGGTCTCCGCACACCCCAAATAATGGACTCTCGCCAGATGTTTGTTTTCGCCATAGACTTTTTGCAATCTTTAAACTCTCTCGGGGACTGAGTTACCGACATGTGGGAAGCCTCGCCCATTTCGAGCACGCCCCGCCCATTTCGGGTGTTCCTTCTCCATTTGATGGGACGATTCAAAGCTTCCCTCTAACAACCTCGTTTAGCAGAAGTAACTGAGCATTCGAATTTTATTCAAGTTTTTGAAGAAACTTCGCAATTTAATTCCACATTAATTTAATTATTGACCGCGTATCAGTAACACATCCTACCTCCGGTATTGAGGATATTCGCTTTGACCATCCGAATGAAGGCCTTGTTGAGTCAGCAGATGGCCGAGATGAGTACGAAACATTGTCTTGGAACGATACTCGAGGCGACGATCTAAAATACTCGGTATTCATTTTACTCAGGTTCAGTACAGTAGGAAAAATCTTGGGAAAAGAGGTAGGCAATGCACGTCCCTGTTTCCCGTGCATTACCCGGTAATGCTCCGGATACTGCACGCTAGAATTCCGACAAGCTAACCTTCGAGGCAATTCACAGGAGTACATGTCGACCATGGGGAGAGTAGAGCAGTTGGATCCACGTGGTGTACTGTTCAATGATGTCATTTGGCTGACACCTAGTCGGGTTGGGCTGCCCACCTGAATTATCGGCGTATGCATCATATGGCTCAGGGTAATTCTAAAAAGACTAATTCACCTCCTCGCGACGACCTGGAGGTTGCGAATGGTAGAAATTGGACAGGGTGCTGCAAAAGACAAAATGTGCACCAGTTCAGGTAACTATAGAAGAACAGCAAAGAAAGGTTTACTTCAGAGCCATTCCAGACGTGCTTGTTATTCGACGTATCATCGGCAACGCTTTTGTCCTGACGTTGCGCTGGATGATCTGAACTGATGAAAATATCAAAACTTCGCAAGGAGGTGTAGGTGCAAATCAGCCCAACGGATTCTCTACCCTTCTGCTCTTTCTCAACGAGCTTCCCATATATTCATACGGTAGATATCGTCGCAATCAGTCGGGGCGGTTATAATAGGGATGAAATGGTTCCACGTGCGGCATTTCACCTCTAACTGTTTTTCCTAAATCGATCACTTACCAAGCTGGTTAATCAAGACAGCCGAAGGCCTGCCCAGTCCACCCGTTCTGCACCGACCCGAATGAATTGCGACCTTATCAACTACATTTGATTGCTTTTCACCTTCAATTTGTATTATGTATTCTCAAGCACTCTGGAAATTACCTTCGTGAAAAACACGTATAGAAATGGGTTGGCCGAGGCGTTAATCGGGAAGAAGAACACCAAAAGAAAAATTTGGCACTGCTCAGCGAAATCAGCGGAAGGCCCATAGCGGCAGACAGTCCTATAAGAAAAAAAACTGTAGATACAACGGAAATAGACAGAATAGCCGTCGTTGGTCGATCACTTGAGGGTATTTAAAGTGAAAAATAGAGCCACGACTAACTTCTGGCTTCGCTAATTAACCCCTCTCAGCTCCATCTCAGAGAACATTTTTCTT